GGACTCATACAAATATATTGTGTGTCACTATTTTATGGGCTTGGATGAACCAGAACCCCCGGAACACACCATCTCCATGGTGGTAGAAAGAAACCAGAGGTCATGTAGACTTTACTTTTCTCTATGCCATATAAAGAGTGTATCATACAGATGTGCATCTGCATGTGTCTACAGGTTTACAAATATGGGATCATAACAAGGTAGAAGTTGCTCAAATGGGAGAACAAGCAGGGGCTTGGAAGCCAGACTTGAGTTCAAATCCTGACGCTCTCACTTACCAGACCAACATATTATTTATGTTGGGACTGTGCCTTCATCTGCAAAATGGGGGAAATAATTCCTTTCAGGTTGTTCTAAAAATTAGTTATAGAAGCACAATACATGAGGTAGAACAGGTGCTCCATAAATGTGGCTGTTAATTTAGTTAGAAATTTACATGCACCCATCAGAGTATTTTCATTTCTTCTTTAAATATTTTAAAGAAAAATCTCTCCAATATGCATTTATCCAAACTTGTTCTTATATCGCCCACCCAGCAGACGTCTCTGCGTGAGTCCTGCAAGTTAAACTGAACAGTGTGTCTTCATCCTTCAAAAGAAGTTTAAATATAAATCAAGAAGACTTCAAAGACCTTTGCATGAATTTGAGGCATTACGATTTTACATATTCTACAAAATTCCCTCTTGATAAAGTCCATAGAAATTAAAAATTAACATTTTAAGTTCCACCACGTTTCTATCTTTAATTCTTCTGACTTTTCCATTAAAAAAACTCATTATTTTGTGAACAGAATTTATAAGATAATAATTCATTTATTTTCCCAAGTACCCTAAAGGGTAAACTTAAATATTATTTGGGGCCAGTAATAAAAAACCCAAATCCAACTTTACCTATCTCTAGGCTAAGTGTCAGTGATATTTTATAAAATACCACCAAGTCCTACAGGCTACCTTGGGGTGGGGTGGCCATCCTGAGATTTCCCTGAGATGGAAAAGAAAGCTATTAGTAATTACTCTGCCACAGCAAGGATACTCTAGGAATGTCCTGGGCATCTGTGATGTGCGGTTCCCTACCTCTGGGTCTCAAAACTAATGGCTCAGCCATTATAAGTATTTACTTGAATTCCTGGTGGAATCAACTTTTATATACTTAATATTCACATTTGCTTTCTTTAGGGTTTTTCTAATTATCTCACTCTTGGGAAGAAGATTTCATTATTTGATACTCAGCTAGAAATAAATTTCTCTCCTTTCTCAGGAATGGTAATAAGGTGGCAGATAAGTCTTCATCTTTTCTATTTCACCTACCAGCTCATTTTTACGTGATCATCTTGTAGCTTCAGGGAGATTTCTGCCAACACATTTGGCATTTTGTAACACCTGTTTCTGCCACAGGCCATCGCTTTTCTCAAATTTCTGTAGGATATGAACTGCTTTGCTGAGTCAAATCCCATTACCTGTGCCATAAGTGCCTTAGGTCGCCCTTCATTATCAGAGGAGAATAAAGCTTTACTAGAAATGCTACTGAGGACAAAGCTAAGATTCCCTTCTCTCTGCTTTAAAGGAAATCAGCTTCATCTAAAAGCAAAACTGGGTGTATTGAGTTGCTTCCTTATTTATCCTGTTTGCCTCACAGGCTACACATAATCAATTCCAGAGGTCAGCCTGGAAACGCAGGATATACAGGTTTCTGAACAGACACAGCTCTGCCTGAAGACTCTCCCATTATTAGGCTGTTGTGCATGCAAAACAATTAAGCAGAAATCGGAAGGATTGTTAAAGGACAATAAATAAGAGAAATGAGGTCATGCCAATGACTGGCAACACTGATCGCTGGAAACACAACCATCAGGATGTAGCTTAATATCTGACTCAGAGATGTTGATGAGAAATTCCTAGTTCAGAAGAAAAGGAAACAAAAAGGTTGGAATTTTTTTAATTGGGATTTTTTATGTGTTTTATTTTGACTTTGGACAGTTTTTTGAGTCTCTAAAAATAAATTAATGTCTGGCTGGAACTAATGGTAAAATGGCATCAATAATTTTTCTGCTTATGAGTGAGACTAAAACTCAGTTAAAACTGAACTGAAAATTAAAACAAAAAATGGCACAAATGATCGGTCCTTCAAATGAATCATCAAACTTACGAAAGAAAGCTGTTATTGTAGCAACATTACTATCCTGCGGGCAGTTACATATTTTCTTCTCAGAGAGTAAACTGTCACATAAAAAGAAGGCAAGATATATGTGTATGGACATAACGCTAATGGGCAGATTTTATAAATACTTGGAAGAGAGAAAATGCAGACATTCTTCCATAACTGCTGTGTCTAGAGTAACCAAAAACTCTGCCAAAATGTATGAAATTCTTCATAGAGAATTCCATTTTTAGGATTAAGTAATGAGCTGGAGCTAATATTCAGAATACAAGAGGTCCTTTAATGGCTTTTTTTGTTTGCTGTTTTGTTTTTTGTTTTGTTTTGTTTTGTTTTGTTTCTTTGTCATTCATGTCCTAGTACTGCATATAGTAAGGAGATGGTGAAGAGCACTTTCTGAAGTGATGCAAGGGCCCTGAGGTCAGAGGTGCTCCTATCCCTCTTCACCATTTGTATCGTACTTTATGTGTCAAAATTAGGTTTGCCAGCAGGATGTCTGATCTTCCAAGTAGTTTTACAATTCTAACATGCTTTAGAAGTCTCGCATTCTGACTTGATTTTTAATAAAATGGAAACTTTAAAGCAGCTTCCTGTGCTCACTGCTATTAGAACACAGAGGCTTTCTTATCCGGAAGCTTTCTCTGTTCAACTCTATTCTATTGTTTCCCACCCACACAATATCTTTTTCCCACCTCCATATTCATTCATGGAACAATCTAGACATATTTTACAGCCTACATACACTTAAAAAAAAACTACTTACAGGTTTTCTTCCACACATTTGTCTCTTCCCTCACCCACACAGACAGCCCCCTTACTCACCTCTTCCTTCAACTTCCTCACCATATTTGTGCTAGTTCACTGCCTCTCTCCACTTTCAACAGTGCTTTTCTACTTTTTAACTATTTCTCCTTTGTCCTATTTAGAAACTTGCTTTTATTCCTCTGTTTTAAATTTCCTCCTCTATATCAACTTGTCACAATGTTATTATTATCTGTGTAAATATAATGTATTGTGCACCATGCCTTCAATAGACAGTTACTAAGTACTTACTCTGCGCTAGACTACTAAGTACGAGACATAAGATGAATGTTCTCCACCCCTCTCCCTTTGTGTCCTCAAGGACTTCACAAGGTAATGAGAAAAATTGGGGGGGAAAATAGCTATGAGTGCCAGAGGGTAGTTCTGGCAAACTGGGCTGTATTAAATTCAACTCTTTCCATTACAAACAAGTAGACCTGTTGGATAAATGGTAACATTTAAAGATGCCTATCTGGGCTTTCAAGAAAGAAAAATACATTCCAAAAGGTCAAAAGGTAAGAGGGAACTAAAAACTAGAGAGAGGGAAATACATGCATTGAAAAATGGTATGAATGGGGGGTTAAGTGTCCAGGAGCCAAGAGCTTGGATTTTAATGCCCACAAGATGCAGATAATAGGGTTCTGAGCTTGTGTAAGGCTGGAAGCTGGAAACAGACCCCATGTATGCAGCCATGTTAGAATTTAAACAAATTCTAGAGTGTAATATGGGTGAAGGGGTAGTTAAACAGGGGTAGTCAATCAAGCACAACAGAGTCCATAGGTACAAACCCAGTATAAACAGGGAATTAGTAAATGAGAAAAGTCACGTTAAATTCAGTGGGTAACAGCACAAAATAAAGAGTGCTGAATCAACTGTCTAACTGTATGAAGAAATTTAGATTTCTGCTTTACACTAAAACATTTCTATACCATTTTAGTAAAATATTCCTGACATAGAATAAATTGGACATATTAAAATATACAGACTGGGGGGCTCGGTTGGTTGGGCATCCAACTCTTAATTTCGACTCAGGTCATGATCTCATGGTTGTAAGATCGAGCCCCACATGGGCTCCATGATGGGCACGGAGCCTGCTTAAGATTCTCTCTCTCCCTCTCTCTGCCCTTGCCTCAGTCTTTCTCTCTCTCAATAAATATTTTTAAAACATGTACAGCTTTGATAAATTTTAAGTGCACAGAACCACGATCAAGATAATGAACATGTCAATCAACCTCAAAGGTTTCCTAATGCCCCTTGGTAACCCCTACTTTTATCCCCATCCTTACTCCCAGGCTGTCACCGATTTCCTTTTTGTCATTACAGACAAGCTTGCATTTTTTAGAATTTTGAATTCATGGAATCACAGAATATGTAATTTTTTTCATCTGGCTTCATTCGCTCAGCATAATTATTTTGAGATTCATCCAAGATGTTGTATATATCAATTCCTCATACTTTTTTTTATTGCTAAATAGTATTCATCATATGGATATAACCACAATTTGTTTACTCATCAACCTGTTGGTATAAATTTGGGTTCTTAGAAGTTTGGGCTATTATAAATACAGTCACCAGGTAGAAGTCTTTTTTTATGGATATATGTTTTCATTGCCCCTGGTAAGATACCTAGAATGGAATAAATGGAATATATGGTAGGTGTCTGTTTAACTTTCTAAGAAACTGCCCAACTGTTTTTCCAAGTAGTTACACCACTTCTCATTTCCATCTTATTTAAATAAGAGATGAAAATACTCAGATGGTATTATGGCAGCACGCTCCTCTTTCTGTCACTCCGAGGAAAACCTCCAAATGCACACTTGGAATCTGCTTAGTCTTCCTGCCCACAGGCTTACATTTTTCAGTCTGGCTTGTCTTGAATACTTATGTTAAAAAATCAGACAAAAAATTTTTGAGGAAGCAGAGAATATAGAACAGAGCCCATAAATACTGTTTTGTTCAATTTAGACACAGATTTTTCTCATAAGAATTGCAGAAACTTTCTTGTTAATCACCTAGATTAAAATGCAGTTAGTAGATACACTTACCCTGGTTTCGTGTCATTTACTACACAGTGATAGGTAAATGTTCCAAACATCTGAACTCCTAAAATTCCATAAAGAAGTAGAAAGAAAAGTAGGAAAATCGAAACGCTCCATATTTGTTCTCCTGATCGCCTGGGGGGGGGGGGGGGGGGGGAAAGTAGGTAAAACTTACAAAAATGTCATAGACTTTCCTCCTTAACATCTATAAAAACAGTGCTTACTTTAAAATGTTTGTAATTCTGGTCCTTGGTAGTTCAAATCGGAAATAAATCCGGAATGCCCGAATCATAATTAGCGGCCGTGGGATCCGCAACATGCCCCAAGGTGACATCTGGTCAACTATATCAGCAATTTCAAATACCTGTAAATTAAGAGGTCAATAAACAAGCTCAGGGCTTCCCTTAGCATTGTCTGAAGTCACAGCAAACACAGATGGTATCAGGAGGTTCACCCAGCACTCTGGGCTTGGCCCTGCATTTTCTTCCACTGAAACGGATTTTCTTTGGAGTCCACCTGGACGCTACAGCTACCTCTAGAGAAAATGAATACATAAACTAATGTAAATGCCACTGCTCTTAGTAATTTCCCATGTAATTCATCAACGCACAGTTTTTATTACAAAAACAAATGCCAACTTAGGATACCGAGCAAGTACGCTAAGTCGTCTTCACTAATAATAATAATAAACGTTCTTTGGTGGAACTTTTAAAATATCTAGAACATGAGGTAGTGGAGAAAGAGTTAAAATTACTATAAAAAATAAAAAGGAATTGTACCATTTACTAAACAGAGGCAAAATGATAATTAGAGAACGTCTGTCAATCACAGAATAGCTATTAAATGGAAAAGAACACATTAATATGCAGGATGAAATCAGACTGTTGGAGAGGCGAGCTTTACAAAAATAAGGAGAGATCTTCAATAAGCGTTATGATGACTTTGCGGGATGGACGTGAATTTGTGTTATTCTAAATTTTTTGATGAAGAATATGGTAACTTGCGTTGAATTAAATGCAAAATCAAGCCTGAATGAATGCATGGAAATGAATTCTATTATCTGGCAAAGTCCCACCTTTAGGCCTTTTTAATATATGTTCCCCATTTCTCATAGTAAGGCATTTTCTATTTGGAATATAGTATTTTATGTTCATCCCAATGTATCTACACTTTTCAGCTGTTTTTAGTGAGGATTCAGTCACATAAAAGACGGATTTTGAAATTTTAAATTCAATGTCCTTTATTTCAATAAATATATTTTTACACCTTTTTAGTAAGAAGTAATTTGCTGTCATATTGATGTTCATTACTGATTAAAGTCATTCACAGATATGACAGACAATGATTAAAATGTTATGGTTTTTTTTCTCATAAACATTTAAAATAACATAATGTTGTAGTAAGTTACACTATGACATTTGACATATATTTGTTACTATTTTTGTTGAGAATTTCAATGCAAAACAATGCACATTTTGGAAAATACCCCCTTGTAATTTAAAAGTTTTAATTACCTGCAATACCAATGAAACCCAAAGGCAGAAGACCATAAATCCATCAAAAACACACCAGCGATCTTTCACATAGGAACTATCCCCCTAAAAATAAATTGCATGTGGAGTTATCACACAAAATTAATAACTTCAAAAAAAATCTGTGGAAAGAAGGGCCAAATGTTAATTTGGTATAAGCTATCCATAATTTTTGTTTCATAGCTGAACACACTTTCCAAAGGAATACCTTTAGCATTTTAAATGAAGCATTTTTATATAAAGAAAATAATTTATAAAACACAAGTTACTGCAGAGTGAGACATGGAAAATTTCAAGTTCACACAAATGGAAATCATCATCATTTTTTCTCTTAGCCACACAGATTCTACCATTTAAGAAACCAGAGGCCATCCTACTCAGTAGGCAGCTTAAGCCCCCAACCAGCTCTCTTCCTACAAGAACTAAGAGCCACAGGGATCAGCATGAAGGCCTTTCAGACTGTGGACCAACCACCATCAGTAGGAAATTAACCACGAATTCACCGTGAGCTACATTAAAAGTGAAGAATACACTTGCCTTCAGTAGTAAATATATCAAATACATATTGATTTCAACTGTAATTGGAATCTTATGTGATAAAAAAGACACACTACTTTCATCTTTCAATAATCAATCTACTCTGACACTAGAATGCATATTTTTTAAAAAATGGGAATTAAAAAAAATTTCCCTTTCAAATAACAAACCAGAGAACTCCATTAGTTGAGAATTGGAACCTTAAATAGAAAGGCCTTTTCTTTCTTAGAACTGTCCCATTAAGTCACTAGTTTCATCACAATATATGAGACTCAATTCTGAATTCAGTGACATCTATTATTACCAATTCTGACTGAACCTGCTTAGAAAATAAAAATAGGAACAGAATGCCAAGATTTTTTTTTAAATGATGAAATGTGTTACAGGATATTTGTACATAATTTCCAGAACCATCCACCCTTAGTAATAAATAAGTTATCAAAAAAGATTCCTTGAGAAGTTTCCAGGAATAATTTTTATTATTCACCAAACTAACAGTATGATAAAGCCACTTAGTAAAAGTTATCTGACTCAGAGATGAAGTATAAATTCAGCTTAGTAACATGGAGGAATCATCTACTTTACACAGAGGATGTATAACACTGGGGTGCCTGGGTGGCTCAATTGATTAAGCATCTGACTTTGACTCAGGTCATGATCTTGCAGTTCATGAGTTTGAGCCCTGTGTCAGGTTCTGTGCTGACAGCTCAGAGCCTGGAGCCTGCTTCGGATTCTCTTTGAAATGTCTCCCTCTCTTTCTGCCCCATCCTTGCATGCACTCTGTCTCTGTCTCTGTCTCTGTCTCTCTCTCTCTCACAAAAATAAATAAACATTAAAATCTTTTTTAAAAAGAGGAGGTATAATGCCTACTAAAACACAAACACACATACACACAAAACAATCTTGCATAGAAAAGTGTATATGTACACATCCAGCTAATGTGTAAGATAGAATAACTTACAATAAACCTATAAACATAGTGGGGAAGACAGGAAAATTAATTCTATAGAGAGTTTAAAGAAAACAATGCTAGTTCCCAAACGCCTAAATAATTTTATCAGTGGTGAGAGAATCCACCAAATTTGGTAACTCATGTACTTGAGAAGATTCACAAAAGAGATATGAAAGTAAACCCTGAGTCTTGGGTCTGGGTCATGAGGAGGACAATGACCTGTTAAGTGTTATGATCGTTATATGATGATTTAAACCTGAAGAAGAGAAAAATAGCACCTCAGAGAGCCACTGGTTCTGAGTATGTGCGTGCACACACGCTCACCACACACACACACATCACATACAGAAGAAATAATTTAAGGATATGATAGTTGCCCTCAAAACCTTACAAAACATTTTTCATTATAAGAGTCATGTTTGCCTGGTATATTGCATAGTTAGCTGAAAATACGAATTAATTATAATCTAAATGTAGACAATATAGCCAATATAAAATTGAATTTTCTCTGAGCCTCATTTCAGTTGATATCCAAAAGGATGACAAAATACAAATTACTTAAAGTTGCACTTTGAAGATTCCCTTGAGTTTCTTAATATACTAAGCAAATTTATTGTTCATTCATTCACTCAATGTATAGAATATCTTCATGATCTAGACAGTGTTTAAGGCTGTAATGAAAGGAGTAGAAAAAAAAAAACAAAACTCCTACCCTTATGTGATTTACATTCTCAGTTTTAAAAAATGTTGAATATACAGGGGTCCCTGGGTGGCTCAGTCGGTTAAGTGTCTGACTTCAGGTCAGGTCATGATCTCATAGTTCGTGAGTCCAGCCCCACGTCAGGCTCTGTGCTGACAGCTCAGTCTGGAGCCTGCCTCAGATTCTGTGTCCCTCTCTCTGCCTCTCCCCTGTTCATGCTCTCTCTCAAAAAGAAATATTAAAAAAATTTTAGAAAAAAAGGTTAAATATACAATATATGTTGATATATCCTAGGAAGAAAAATAAAAGTGTACATTTTCAAATTGACTTTTATTAAACAAATGTACTTTTTACTGGAATGTTGGCAGAAAGAGACAAAAATATCACTTGATCTTTATTTTAAGAATGAGGCATAGTTGTGATTGTTTAAAAAAAAAACACAAAAAATTCCAAAAATGAAAACTGAAATTTTATGGGATGCAACAGAGAACTATTTTAAGCTAGTTCTTAACTTTTAACTTAGGCTAGTTTTAACTTTCCAAGGAACCTCCATACTATTTTCCACAGTGGCTGCACCAGTTTGCATTTCTACTAACAGTGTTAGAGGGCTCCACTTTCTCCACATCCTTGCCACCCTCCGATCCAGCAATTATACTACTAGGTATTTACCCAAAGAAGACAAAAATACCAGTTTGCAGGGATACATGCACCCTGATGTTTATAGCAATATCTACAATAGCCAAATTATGGAAAGAGCCCAAATGTCCACTGACTGATGAATGGATACAGAAGATGTGGTATATTGGTATGGTGGTGAAATAGTCCACTAGGCATAAGTTTTATGTATTATTTTTTGGCTTAGGTTACCAAGAGGCATTTAATATATATAAAAACCTTTAATAGGCAGTACAGTGAGCTGGGATACAAAGACGAGCAACACTCAGACCTCACCCCCCACCTCGTAAGTTTTGCTCTTTTCGTGTTCATTATTCATGCTGTCCTATCTTCCTGAAAAATCCTCCCAAGTCTGTGCCAACTTTTTCCTTCAGATTCTGATCTGACCACAGCCCACCCTGATCAACGCTTTAGCTCACACATAATGCAGCAAGCAGCGTTTCAGCCTATACGTGTAAAAAACGTACATATTGTCTAACTTCCAGAATCGTCCTTTGTAATTCCCACCTGGTTGTTTAATGAATTACAATTTACTCCCTTCTGTTAATCAGTTCCTGTTTATCAGTTTTGAAGTTTGAGTTTTCCACTTAAATCTTTTCTAAACATATTCCCTGGTGTTGCATTAAAAAATAGTTTCTCCTCATTGCAAATGAGTCTTTTCTGAAGATTAGTAACACCTTGTGACTGGACAATTTCGGGCACCTTGCACAGAGTGTGACAACCAGAAGATATCAAATGAATTAGATAAGCGTATATATGATGTCTTACAGAGTTTCTGCAGATTACAATGCATACAGTAAGAAGTCCATTCATATGCCTCATGAATGCATCCATTTAAGCATCCATTCACTGAAATTAGTATTGTTCCTTAACAGGAATGATTCTTTGACTTCTGGCAAAGAGAGAAAGATGTATTATTATCTTTCCAGTTAATATCTAAAAGTTATGACTTTTTTCCTATATGATCATGAAAGACCACAGATGAAATTATAAGATAGCTTTTGGGTATTTCCTGGATGCATACAGTTTGACTGAAGAGAGGCTACAGGCCATGCAAATGAGAATCGGGTCAATGTGCATATACTTTGTGCACTATAATGTAGTTGCAAATATGACTGAACAGAAATTGATATCATGTTAATCACTATTGATAATCACTAAGGCTTCATAAGCTTAAAACAACTTTTTAAAAATATTTATTTTTGAGAGAAAAAGAGGTAATGTGAGATGGGAAGGGGTAGAGAAAGAGGGGGGGGTAACACAGCATCCAAAGCAGGCTCTTTGCTGAGATAAGACAGCCCGACTTGGGGCTTGAACTCACAAAACGTGAGAACATGACCTGAGCTGAAGGTAGATGCTTAACCGACTGAGCCACCCAGGCGCCCTTAAAACAACTTTTAATACATAGACTTTGAACCTGATGCTTTGAAATGTAATCTCATAATACATTTTGTGTCTGACACATTTACCAAATTGCCTCTTTTTTCATTCGTATTGTCAAAGACTTTTAATCATAATTGGTTATGTCCATATCCTTTTAAAATCCTCCTGTATTTTTAAAAAATTTTTTTTACATTTTGTTTATTTTTGAGAGAGAGAGACAGAGAGAGAGAGAGAGAGAGAGAGAGAGAGAGAGACAGAGCACAAGTGGGGGAGGGGCAGAGATAGAGGGAGACACAGAACCCGAGGCAGGCTCCAGGCTCTGAGCTGTCAGCACAGAGCCCGATGCGGGGCCCGAACCCATGAACCGCTAGATCATGACCTGAACCGAAGTCAGTTGCTTAACCGACTGAGCCACCCAGGCGCCTCCCCAAAAATCCTCCTGTATTAACACCCAAGTCATAATATTCGCAGGTTATAAGCTGTCCCTTTTCCCTGCCTCCAGAATATGTAACCAGAGCCTAACATACAGGTACTCAAGAAATGTTAACACCTCAAATATGGCAGAAAGGTTTTAATTTGCCAGTTCCATCCACAAAAATGGAGAGCAGACAATGCTGAGGCAGAAATCTGCATGCTGGTGGCTGAGGAGTTATTCAAGAGTTGTCCGTCAATTTTTACAAAGGTAAATACTCAGAGGCTGCCAATCAATTATACAGGATAAGAGAGGAACCTAAATTGCCATGCAAGTATTTAATAAGCAGAGAAACCAAACACATTTATTTGAAGACATTTCTAAGGATACAGTTTGCCTTTGCAAAA